ATAATCATTTTCTTGGGTTTATTCTTCATTTTGTCAAACTATCCTTAGACAGTTCTTTTAGAAATGATTTGTCACAAATGAAATTTTATTTTGCCATCTCATTTGTTTTCTAGCCTGCCATATTGTAACATAAAAATTATTTTCCCTCAAAACTTTGAAAATATAGCTGTGCTGTCTTTTGTATTTAGTATGTTGAATGAGAGATTTGTTGTTGATGGTATTTATTTTGTATTTCTGCATATAAGGCATCTTTTTGGTAACTTTGGATATTTCTTTTTGGTTATTTGAAAAATCAACACTAGCTGTCTAAGTTCTTTATTTAATTTAAAAGTCAAAACTATCAGTTTAGTTTTTAAATTAATACATATCTAGAAAATTTTTACTTTCTTTTTCTTCTGTTTTCTATTTTTAGAACTTTTAGATGTGTGTTGAACTGTTGCTAACCTTGGTGTATATTTTACCTCTTAATCTTTCAGTGTGTTCAGAGAAAGCTGCTTTGCTCAGTTTTCTGGGTCTGTAATTTGTTCTTAATTCTTTGGCTTCAGGATTTTTTCTTTCATATCAGCCCACTATTTAACTGATGCAACATCTGTTACACTTTTGTGGTTATTGATCTTGCATGCTTAAAGCTGTCCTTAGTTTGTCTCACCAAGTATTTTCTTGAAGATTAATTTTGTTTTAATTACTTTGCTTCTTTTTCATGATGCTAATTTTTCTCAAATGTTGATTCTTAGTTTTTTTTCTCTCTTCTCTTTTTGTAAGTAGAAATCTTTTCTGTCAGCATTGCTTGTTTCCTGAAGGGGTTGGACATGTTATTTGGTGGGATATATAGATAACTTTTGAATTTGTGGTTTTTCTGTCCCTTCTGGGGACCAGCAGTAACCTTGTACCACTCCTTAGATAACAGTGCTACTTGCTGCTTATCATGAACAAGAGAATGGGGAAGGGAAGAGAGGAGCTAGCTAGTCCTGTTCCAAGTATGGCCACTATTTACTCATTCTGTCCCTGGGAATGAGGCTTACTCCTTCTCATATCTGTTGAATCTGGTACCTTTTAGATGTTTCTAAATTGCTTCTATTTTCTCAGCTCTCTTCTATGTGAAGTGTGTGCAGTAGTTTGTTTAATTTTCAGAAAGCTGTTTTTAAACTGTAGTGAATTATTTTATCATTCCTATGCCTTTTATATTCCTCATTCCTATTCTGTGTCTATTTTTAAACGTTTCTACTTAGTTTCTTGTATTATATTTTCCAAGAGAGAAATTGTGCATTATTTTGTGCATATTTTATAGTATGCTTTATATAGTATCCATATAAAAATTTTGTTGGCTACTGTTTTTCCATTGGACATGTCCAAGTCTAAAATAAGAGTTAATAAATTTTAACTCTATTTTATATTTAATAGTTTTTGGATTTTTTTTTCTATTTATGGTTTTGGTTTTTAGGCTTAAAAACTTTTTTTTTCCTTTCCTTTTGTTTTCCAGCTCTTTTGTGCCTTTCAAGATGATAGATATCTGTACATGGTAATGGAATACATGCCTGGTGGAGACCTTGTAAACCTTATGAGTAATTATGATGTGCCTGAAAAGTGGGCCAAATTTTACACTGCTGAAGTTGTTCTTGCTCTGGACGCAATACACTCCATGGGTTTAATACACAGAGATGTGAAGCCTGACAACATGCTTTTGGATAAACATGGACATCTAAAATTAGCAGATTTTGGCACATGTATGAAGATGGATGAAGTAAGTAAGCAAGTTTTTTAAAAAAGCAAGTTTTTTGGGAAACAGAAGGTATTATAATACCTCATCAGGATGCCACCACACCCAGCAGGTCTTTGTAGTTTTAAATAAAGATAAATTTAGTTTTGCTTATTGTGTAACAAACAAGACAAAACAAAACMAAACCAAATTAAAATACTTCCTTTACTAATAATTCATCTAGATTTTTTAGAATATAAGAGAAATAAAAACTCAGTTATCTTCCCCATAGAATATYGACAAGCATTTGTTACCAGTCAAAACTGGTTCATGTGTATAGTGACCTAGATGTAGGCTCAGGACACATAATCTMAATTAAGGCATGTGAGTATTTCTCCAACCCATTGTTATTTCTATGTTTTTGTTTTAGRAAAGGAGATAAGGAAAGAAATTTTATGTTACCACCTTCTTCTACCTACCCCTCTATATTAACCATATAGAATAAATTTGGGGACATCAACCGTTGTGATACTTTACCTATTGAACAATCCATATTATGAAGATAGATTCAGTGACATTTTATTTATTTTTGCATTTCTTTGCTGGATATAAAAGATGACTTCTAAGTGTTAGTACATATTGATAGCAAGTGTGTATATTATCTTTGGTATGGTTTTCATAACCTTTCAATATGCTCATATAGCTAATTTTTTTCCTGTTATTTATCTAGCAAAGACATACATTTGGAAGTAAATTTCTTCTTTACCTCTTCAGTTATTTATGCTAACCAGGTGATATTTTTATTGATTATCTTACCTTTATAAGTGTTCATCTTTTCTCAAAATCAGCCCAGATTTTAGTTCATCTAGAAAGTTCTCCTTGATGATCCTAATCTAACTGATTATTCTTTTAATGTTATATTCAAAATTTATGCTATATTTCTAGGCCATTTCTGTTTTAGTTTAAGCTAAAACTTAACATCCATCTTAACATTTTGTTGTGCTTTACAGAATCTGTTACTGTGTCCTATAACCATTTATTAATGTTTAATAGGGGGAGTTTTTGATTGCTCCCAAAGCTCCCTTTTGTGGCATTTACCATAAAATAGTATGAAATGATTAATARTGAAAATTAATCTATAATGAAAATCAAATACGAAATAGTTTTCTGATAGAATGCTAAACCTTTCTGTGTCTGGGATATATAATCTATGATATTTATGTACTGCACTTCYATGAGTGTATTCTGATTTTAATTAAATCAAAATCTTTTGTGGATGGGGCAGGATGCAGGAAAATAAATCATACCATGTTTATAGAGGAAGGTTAAAGGTACTTTGCAAAATAGAAAGATGTTACCAGGCACAGTGGTGCACAGCTGGAATTCCAGCACCTGGGGAGGCAGAAATAGGAGGTTTGCAAGTTTGGGGCAGCCAGAGCTATTTAGCAAGATGTTGTCTCAAAATAAAAAGGGCTGTGATGTAGCTAAGTGGTAGTGAGCATGACATGTAAGTCCCTGAGTTCAGTCCCTAGTATACAAAAGAAAAAAAGTGGTATAGAGTACTAGAGTATGGGGAACAGGAGAAATATGGTATTTACAAAATAATTATACAAGCATGCAAGCAAATACTGAMATAAGCTATTGAAATATCCTAAATTGTTTAAAAACAAAATGTGGCTTAATTTTGTTTATATGTTTTTTTAATTCACATAAAGAAAGTCATGTTAATTATACCCCTTGGCTTATAGTTTATTATCATGAGAAGTCTACACATGTTCCCATTTTATTTTTATTACACTTTTCTTCTTTCAGTTTCTAGTTTGCCTTTTCTCTCCTTATAAACAACCAATGTAATGTGTTTACCATATGCTTTTTGAGTATTAGTACGATATAAATATACTTAGTTTGTATAAATAGTATTAGAATTGGTATCATTTTGTTTACTTCTGTCACTTAGCCTTGTTTTTATAACTATCCCTGATTAATATATAATATAAGTGAGTTCATTGCTTCCTTTTTTTTTTTTTCCTTTGGTATCAGGGATTGAACTTAGGGACACTCAACCACTGAGCCCTATTTTGTATTTTATTGAGAGACAGGGTCTCACTGAGTTTCTAAGCATCTTGATGTTGCTGAGCCATCTTTGAACTCATGATCCTCCTGATTTAGCCTCCTGAGCCACTSGGATTACAGGCATGCACCACCACACCTGGCTAGTTCATTGCCTCCTACTGCTGCATTCCATGGTATCTTATCAGTTTGTCTTATTCCCCTGGCATTGTTCCCTAGGTCATCCCCAGCTCCCTCTCATCAACAAAACAAGTGTTTCTCTGAGTATAAACTTAGAAGTGATATTACCATACCAGAGGGCTCATTAATAAAATATTGCCTGATCTCCTTAAAGCTATAAATGTTCATAACCTGTTCCTAGTAGTGCATGACAGATSTTGTCTCTTCATATCCTCAGGAACTTTTCCCATTATTCAGCTAAGGTTACCATTTCCATTGGTATAAAGTAGTGTCTTTTAAAAATTGTGTTTGTTTCTTTTAAAAATTTTATTTATTTATTTTTATKTGGTGTTGAGGATCGAACCCAGTGCCTCACATGCTAGGCAAGTGCTCTACCCCTCAGCCACAGCCCCAGGCCCCTAAATTGTGTTTCTTAACAACTTATGATGACAAACCTCTCTTTATATACTTGTCATTGACTTCTCTTTTGTGAATCACCTGTGTATCTTTTGACTCTTTTAAAACTGACTTCTTGCTGACAGAACCTGTTGTGATCCAGAAAACTTGAGATAATTTATAATCTAGCCTCTAGTTATGTTGGCTTTCTATAAAACATTGTCATGATTAAAGGCAAAAATAAAACACAACTGTGAGATTATAATTTAGGAGGACTAAAGTAAGTTGGTTCTATCACAATTAAGAGTTGGTATTTCTCTGATTTCTGACATAGATAAATAAATAAAGGGTTAATCACCATTTTCTGGATACCATTTTGTTATTCTCTCTCTCAGAGAAAAAAAAAAGAAAAAAACTTACTTAGCGCTTGGGGTGTAGCTCAGTGGTAAAACCCTTGCCTAGAATCCATAAGCTCTTGAGTTTAGCACCCCCGAAGCACTGCAAAACACCACACACACCCACCCACCCACCACCTGGATGTGTGAGAGTCATATTGTATATTGCATGTGGAGGTTTCTAACAGCTGAGAACAATTGTTTTAAATGACTTACATTAATTGGATGTGTTGGYCTCATTCATTGTCTGTCCTCCCTTTCAAAACCTTTACCACCTTTTATGACATATTCTAATGTGTACCATTTGATTAAGTTGCTGTATTTTTTYCTTTTTTAAAGTCTATTAATTGTGTTTATTGATCTCCATATATTGAACCAACCTTGCATCCCTGRAGTAAATCCCACTTGATCGTGGTGCACTATCTTCTTGATATAAATTACTGTATGTTGTAAGAAGCTAATTAATAAATTGTTTATGTCTTAACTCTTCTACAAGTGACATCAATTTTTAAAATATAGGTGTGGCTACTCATGTTTCTGAAAGAAAAAACCTCTTTTTTTCTGAAAAATGTATATTAAAAAAAAAACAGAAATTGGAGTAACTGCTGAATTATTGGAGCAGTGCAGGTAGATTATTCAGAAGCCATTCCTCTTTGTAACCAGAGCTCTGATGAAAACAATCSGTGATAACCCAGCAGGGGGACTGGGATAATCCAGGCAGGCAGCTTTGTGTGGCTGTGGGTACTACAGCAGTGGAAGTGGAAGTGGATTCTAAGCCATTTGGACTACTGTGCAAGGCATAACAGGTGTATTTCTCTGAAAAGAATGCAAGTGCTCATTTTTTAAATTTTAAAATTAAAAAAAAAAAAGTTAAAACAGACTGAAAAGCCCCTGCCTATTCAACAATTCACCTAAGGCTTTTAATGCTTCTGATGAAGAACTCCACATACAATGTTTCTTTTCCACCTTCATGGGAAGCATTTTGAATGGTTTCTGAGACCAGCTCTTTAATATCTCTGATTGGCCAATTTATGTTTTCATAAACTCTCTTGTTTTATGAAATTTTGTCAGTTATAAACACCAGATATACATAGCAAATAAACATTTAGTCAGATGCATTTAAAATAATTTTGAGGAACCTTCTTGAAAATCTTGCTCTCTAGCTTAAAACCCTTCAGTAGATTTCTGACACCTGCTGGATAAAGTCTCCACTCCATAGCTTGTCTCTGAAACCTCTTATGATGACATGGCCCTGCCTACTTTCACCTTCTTTCTGTATCAGCACAGAGTTCAAGAGTTACCATACAGTTCTTTTTTTTKTKTSTGTGGCATTATTTCCTGATTCCTAGTCTTCATATATGCTGTTTAATAGTCTGCCTGGAAAATTCCTGCTCATACATTGAAACTTGGTTCAGAGTTTGCTACCTTGTAAAGCTTGTTAGGTTGGTTCCACATGTTGGTTTCTTTTTAGAGCATTATCCTTTTCTTTCTGTTCTTTTTGTTTTTGACACTACAAAATATATAAGACTTGACTTACACTTTCTCTGCCTCAGCCCTGGAATCAGCCACTTCTTTATATTCTCATTTCTTTTATTAGAGAAGAGAGTTTTAAGTCAGTKTTTAGGGGCCCACATGCTCATTGCTCCTGGAGTATCATCACTTCTAGGCTGTCAGTACACAAAACTGGTACATAGGTGTTACGTACACTTGATGTGCTAAATCACATTCCCACGTGTGTTTATACTTAATTTTGCAGCTCTGTTTGTGCATAATATATTCATTGTGGTTCATATAGACACCTTTGACTCATGTCCAGTACCATAGGGTTCAGTCTAGTCTTCTTTCTTTTTTGTAATTTCTTAGATATCAAAAAACTGCWGAGCTGGGGGGGTCATGGCTCAGTGGTAGAGGGCTCGACTGGCATAAATGAGGCACTGGGTTTGATCCTTGGCACCACATAAAAATAAAGTAAATGTTCTGTGTTCATCTACAACTAAAGAAAAAATATTAAAAAAAAAAAAAAACTCTGCTGGGTTTTTTGTGGATGTGGCTCAGTGGTTGAGTACCCCTGAGTTCAATCCCCAGTGGCTCACACTTATAATCCCAATAGCTCAGGAGGCTGAGGCAGGTGGATTTTGAATCTAGAGCCGTCTCAGCATCTTAGTGAGGCCCCAGGAAACTCGGTGAGACCCTGTCTCTAAATAAAATACAAAAAAGGTCTGGGGATGTGCCTCAGTGGTTAAGTGCCCGAGTTTAATCCTCGATACCAAAATACAAAAACACCTGGTTCGCATTATCTGTCGTGTATTTTCTTCTACAACCCTAGTATACACCTAAAATTATTTCATAACTGCCAAACCCAACTGTTGTAGCTAACAGATTTGCTAACATTGTTATATATTTCTTTTGTTTTTAGCCTTAGAGTATCCTATTAAAATGATGTTTTCTTTGGGAGGCTGAGACAGGAGGATCATGAGTTCAAAGACAGCCTCAGCAAAAGCAAGGTGCTAAGCAATTCAGTGAGACCTGTCTCTAAATAAAATAAAATAAGATAAAATGGGCTAGGGATGTGGCTCAGTGGTTGAGTGCCCCTGAGTTCAGTCCCCAGTACTACCACCCCTCCCCAGTGATGTTTTCCAGAGTTACTTGGGGCTGCTCTTCCAGTTCCCATACAGTGAAGTTATGTGATTCATTTATAAAACAGGTTCAGTTTTTACAGTTTTGTATGTGAATTTTTCCCTGATTTTAAGAATTAAAGCTGTGTAAGATGTATGCTCAGAGTAGGGTCTCTTGCTCTTTATCCTTATTACCTTATTCCTATTACTCCTTCTTTCTACCCCTTTCCCACATACTCCCTGCAGGTATAAATGAATCTCTTTAGTTTCTGATTTATCCTTCCCATATTTCTTTTAAGCAGAATCTGAGACTTGTCATAAATGTACATTCCATATCCATATAATTTGAGAACTTTTCCCATGTGATAGTTCCTAAATATCTTAAATATCTTTTTTAAATATTTATTTAAAAAACCTTAATGTGTTAGCCAGATATTCTGGGGGTAGAACATTAATTTTCCAAAAGGAGAGTGCTATTTGCATAGTTTACTCAAAAGTGTTTATTCTGCAGGCAGGTAGTYATTGAAACTGTTATTCAACTTTCCCTTCTGACCTTCATCACGTGGAATTTTCCATTTAACTGATTTGAACTTTATTGCACTTTATGAACATGCTTTATATAAGGTCATTCTTGTTCTTTTTTAAAATGCTCTTTTTCTGTTCAAGCTATATCTCCATTCCTTTAAACCCTAAATTTTCCATCTGTCGCAGTCTAACTTTATATCATTTTCTTTCTTATATCTTGCCCTTTCTCTCCTGCCTTTGAACCTCTTAGGCTAAATAGGTGTGTGTGTGTGTGTGTGTGTGTGTGTGTGTGTGTGTGTGTGTGTACACGCGCGCGCATGTTTAGTAAGAGTTTAGCTCTGAAGTCTCATACTTTAAATTCTAATTTCTGTGAAGCCGTGCAAGTTCAGAGGTTTTCTTTAACCTAATAAGTCCCTATTAGATTTTTCTGCAAAGTATAAACTATAGGATAGTCCTTGGTAAAAATGAATTGTATTGGCTCCCATAATYCAGACATTTTTATGCATTTCATAATACATTTCAGTTCCCTGTACCCAAAGCCATGTTGGCAGTGAAGCTCTGTTAGTGRCAGTGTGTAGTCACTCTCTACCTAAGAGTAAACAAATAAGTTTCATTGATATTTCTGTATATTCACAATGGTCTCTTTCTCTGCTGTTTGTAGACAGGCATGGTACATTGTGATACAGCAGTTGGGACACCTGATTATATATCACCCGAGGTTCTGAAATCACAAGGGGGTGATGGTTATTATGGGAGAGAATGTGATTGGTGGTCTGTTGGTGTTTTCCTTTTTGAGATGCTAGTAGGTGAGTAAATATTTTAAGTTGTTCTTTTTTCAAAACTCTTTCGTAACACTTTAGTTCAGTCAAGGATTTGGAAATATAAGGAARTGGCATGTGTCCTAGGGAAGACTGAAATTTCTGGAAATTTTGATTTAGTAGTAAATAACATGAACCTGGCACAGTGATTAAGTGGAATAAGTAGAGCCTGAAAGGAATTAAAAGTATGTTGTTAGAAAATATTTCTTCAGTAGACCCTTTTGAGTTAAGAAAATGGTAGAGCAAGAACAAGTTTACAAGAACAAGTTTTGGGGGATAATTGTATTTGTTTTCAGTGTTATAAATATAAGATTTTACTGTTTGTTATAACAAACAATAACAGAGAACTAGAAGTAACTTTTTTTCCTGAGGTGCTGGGAATTGAACCCAGGGCCTYGTGCATACTAAGCCAGTCTACCACTGAGCTACAACCCCAGCACTAACAGTACTTATTGGTTTATGTAGTTTTGTTTTGTATTGATTTTGTAAAATGTATTCCTTTTATTTACTACTTGTATTTTTTGATTTGTAATTCAGTGGAATGAAATTTTTTTTGATATTTCAGATTTAGAAAACTCAAGCAAATTCAGTCATTTCTTTTACTTTGACCAAATCAAAATTTGAAAAGCTTAAGTGTTTCAAAACTTTTTTTTATGTGTCATAGACTTCATTTCTAACATTTTCTATTCCTAAGCACTGGGGTCACAAAAATATCTTCTGGATGAGGACAATTATGATTGCTTTACTTGTCTTGGGATGAGGGAAAATATAACTAAGATTTAATTACATTTAGTACTTTTGTAAGTACGATAAGGCTAATAACATTACATGGAGTTTTTTGGATAATCTTATTTGTTATAAATATTTTAAACATAAGGCTGATAGAAATATGTTTTTGGAATTACAGAATTTATTTTCTAGATGAGGACCCTAAAAGAAATTGATAGTATAAGAAATTGATAGTATAAAATCTATAAGAGTATGATTATTGCTTAAAAAAATTAGAAATGTTTAGTAAATCCCAAATTTAAATGAATACTATGGAGCTTTTTTGTGGTATAAATTGCCTTGTTTTAGTGATGATCCAATATATGTGTCATTGATCTTCTTATACTTGGTTTCATATTATAGTATGACCTACTTTGTTTGGGGCCTTTGTTGTTGTAATAAGTCTCTTTTTACATACCATCCGGTACCAGTAGCTGTCTGTTCTCCCACCTCCGGTATGTGATCTGATGAAGCATGAAGATGTATCTTGCAATCTTTTGAAAGTAGAATATATTCTCTTACTTGCTTTGCCTCTTCCAGGGCTTTAGAAAATAGGTACCTTTGAACAAGTAAATTGGCTCATTTGAATAGGCCATTTAGATTTCCACTACTATTTTCAAGACTGAGAACTAAATTAGAGTTTAATGGCAGTGATTTACAGTATTCTGAGCCTACTGCAGTGCTTGCTTATGTTAGTTGGCAGTGATCTTCATTTAGAAGATTCTACCACACTAGAAAAAATTACACTAGAAAATTCTTGAATTCAGTGCTCTCCACCCCAAACCCACCTTTGAATTCAAACAACAATCTGAATATACCTTTTGAAGTTTTGCATTGGCTGACTTAGAGAAGTTGGCCAGCACTCAAGTTACTTGGCCTATAGACGTACAGGGCAGGGCCTTTACCTGCTGTGGCTTTTGATGGGTAGTGACCAGAACTGTTCCTTTAGGATTTTCTGTCTTTACACTTGCTTCAGGGGCTCTTTATGATAATCAGTAGTTGGCGACAACACTACGTTGGGAGATAATTTCTGTCCCTTTCTAGCTCTAGCTATTTGTCATTTTAGGCAGGTTACATGCAGTCACTCTGCGCCCTGCTCCCTCTTATGTGGAAGAATAGACATGCTCTGACTCTCAGAGCAGCACTGTCCAGTTTGTCATGATAGAGACAATTTACATCTATACCAGCCAGTGTGGTTGCCACTGAACTGTGGCTGATATATGTAACTAGGGGGCTGCATTTTTCATTTTTTTTCAATTTTAGTTTAACTTTAAATTGCCACATATCACTAGTGGCTGCTATATTGTATAACAGCTCTAGAGACCCATCTCAAGATGCCGATCCAGCTCCGGCATCAAAATACTCTGGTCTCATCCCACTTCAAGACCCTTTCTTTTCTTAAGTTAAGAAAAATTCTGACCCTCATTGCTATACAAAATTACATATAAGAGGTTGTGAGGGGAATGGGAAAATAAACAAGGAGAGAAATGAATTACAGTAGATGGGGTAGAGAGAGAAGATGGGAGGGAAGGGGA